CTACTGCAGCTGAAGTTTCTTTCCGCTCCATCCATTTTTCAGATGAATGAGAATGAAATAGATTTGCCTATAATTTTTGGCTGTGTTCGGCATAGGGTAACCCGGCCCGCGTTCTTGCGATAAAACTGCACCAGGCAAGTCGCTGTGGACGACCGTTGATTTCTTTCGGCCGTTCCACTGCAAGAAAAAATAAATAAAAAATGGAAAAAGAGAGAGAAGGGGGAGGGGGAAAGCGGAGCACGAACGCGAAGGTAGCCGAAGGTAACCGAAGGGCCCGACCCGACCGGCCCTGCCCCATTTCGAAACTACACGTGCGAGGTGGCTGTCGCCGCTCGCCCGCCCTGCCGTGTGGGAGTAAGAGAGAGTAGAGGGGGCAGAGGGGGCTAGACTCGGTTAGGAGGGCACCGACCTTGCGGGGGGGGGGGGATGCAAGTCAACAGGTTCCCTGCCCATCCTCTCCCTGTCCGTCGTTTGGCATGGCGCTACTGGAGCAGCACACACACATTGACACGCACTGTGGTGTAACAGGTGAGGCGGCCACGGCGACCGCTCGGGACCGCTGGGCTCTGTATTGGGCCACTTCGCGGCTGGAGGGGGTGCGATAGTGCGATACCGACACCGATCGAACCGCTGTAACACTGTAACAGCGCTGTTCCTGTCCCGTCATGCCAGCGCACATGCCAGCGCATGCTAGCAGTGTAACGTATCGAACAGAAACAAAAAGTTGTGTTGGAGTCTGGAGGAGTTCAAACGAGAACCCGGACTTTGGTTTTCTTCTTTTAGGTTGGGCGCGCTCTGTGAAACCGAACTCTTTGCCCGGCCGACACAGCGACACAGTCCGACGCCGCGGCAGAGCGGCAGACAGCGGGCTGCCGGGCTCTTGGGCCGCCTAGACGCGCTGACGACGCGGGGCCGGACGGGACGGGACAGGACGTTCACGGCGTCGCGTCACTTTTAAACGGTGCATGTGTTCCGTCTGGCGGGGAAGGGGCGCGGGTCACCACTAAGGCGCGGGAACGGGACGACTAAAGTTAGGTTGGGTTGCCGCTGTCGCTTCGCGCGCACTGTGGCAATGCCGCAAAAATCCCTAGACACTCTAGTGCTGATAGGGTTGCCAACTGCAGCCTGCCAGACAGGCAGCTTCTCGATAGCAAAGCCCGGATATTGCCTGACAGGCAGGATGAGGTTGGCAACCCTATCGACACCGGTGCGCAGCGGGCCCACGCGTGTGGCAGCCCTGCCCTTTGAATCGCACGCTGTTGGCACGCAGCACGGCAACGGACAGGCAGCAAAGCAAGCAACGCGTACGGAAATCGTAAAACGGGTGGCAGAGCGGCAGAGGAGAGAAAGGCGACTGGAAAATGGAGACTTTGAAGGCTGTTGAGTCGACAATGAACGCACGCACACTCGCCGCGCCCGAGTGTGTTGTTGCTCGCCGAGCGAGCGGCTTCGTTGCTCTGTCTCTCTCGCACTCTAAGGGGACGCCCCACGAGTGCGAGAGAGACGCAGTGTTCAGTCGTCTGCAGGCGGGCACGCGTTGCGCGCCTTGCGCAATCGTCTTTTCAAGTTTTCGTTCAAAAGTCGGGTACACAAAACGTCCTGCCGGCTGGCTTTCTCTACCAGCTTCCGCGAGCGTCCCCGCGTGTCAGCGTGTCAGCCTCGTTCTGTGTCAGCTTTCCGGCCGGCTCCTTTTCTAATGTTCTGTTATTACGGTTCTGCCCTTACGTGTCCCCCCCCCCTCCCGTCCGGCCATACCGGTGGCGGTCAGTTCGCTCCGGAAGGTTCCTGCCGCCAAAGGCAGCCGAAGCCAGCGCAGCGCTTTCGCTCCAACGGCGAAGGCGCGGCAGGGCAGGGAAGGCCACTTAACGTCAAGATGACACATGCCGCGTCCACCCTCGACCCCGCTCCGCTCGCCTAGCCTCGCCTGGCCGCGGCCGGGCCTAGGCCGGCCTTCCAGAGGCCACCTGCGGGCTCACACGCGACAAATAGATGAATGGGTCAAGGCGATTCCGCCGCCACCGCCGCCTTGCTGCCCGCCCTGCCTGCCCTGCCTGCCCCGGCCGGCACGTCGCGGTGGGGCGGGGTGGGAGGGGTGGGGGTGCGGCCCGGAAGTGAGGCGCCGCCGCCGCCCCCGCCGCGCCCCGAACTCACCGCGGTAGGCATTTCGGTCACGCAGGGGGTTGCTTTTAGCGCGCCCCGGCAGCCTCATTTCGCAGCGCGCCTCTCCCTCGCACCCCGACGGGGCGCCGCGAGAGTGCGAGAGAGACGGAGCGAGAGTGGCGGCGCGCGGGAGCGGTGCGCTGGAGGGGCGGAATTGAAAAGACGCAACCGGAAAGGAGGCCTCGACGTGATGGCGGGGAATCACTGTACGAGGCTTTCGCGCTAAAGCTTTACAATTGAAAACACTGCAAAAAAAAATTAGGAATAATTGAAACTCTTCGCCAGTCGACGGTAACTTTAATGCATGGCATGCACAAAAATATGGAATTCAGGCTGTTATAAAAATTGAACATTGAATCCCATGGGTGGCAAGTTCGACGCGCGCAACCAATCGGCGGTTGTCTTTAGAAACTCGCCTACAATTGTTGTTACTACTGCTGGGCGAGTGGCGCTCCGTACACGTTTCCTGCTTGTCTGCTTGTCTGCCGATGCGTCTGGCTATTTTTACCTTTGAACGACACAATGGACATGCCACGGTGCAAATGACACGGGCGTCGTGTGTCTCCGCAGCGCGCTTGGCGCCCACATGGAGTAGAGTACTGTGTGCCGTACCCACCCGAACAAATGCGCAACTGTTCAAAAGGCCTGAACCTGGGAGTGTCTTTGTAGGTGTTGTTTTTTAATTTTTCAAATTCTCACAGACCATTATTTTTGAAATCCCTCGCGGCCCTGGGCCTGGGCCCTCCCCTTGCCAGCAAAGCACACCTGGGCCAAGATAGGCCACGGCAGGTAGCAGGTTCCTTACGCTTTTTCCAAATCAGATCGCAGGGCGGTTATAAATATGGTCTGCTATCGCTTGAGGCCATCGCCTTCGAAAACCCGCTCTGCGCGGATGGCCGAATGGCTCAGGGATGCGATTGCGATCCGCATAAATTTGGCAACACCCGTTCCATTCATTGAATGTTTGCAAAAAGATCTGTAAGTAGTGGACCTTGGCACGGGAAGGGAGAGACGACTCGAAAACCACCTTGCGTGCGCTAAATGCTTCGGCCGTGCTCGCCGTGCTCGCGATCCGCCGCGATTCGCTCTGCAAGCCGTGTCAACAGCGAGCCGCTTTGGATTGGCAAACGCGCTCTCTCTCTCTCTCTCTCTCTCTCTCTCTCTCTCTCTCTCTCTCTCCTCTCTCTCTTCTCTCTCTCTCTCTCTCTCTCTCTCTCTCTCCCCGTCCGTCCGCGCCTCCCTGCGTCCCCCTTTCCCTGTTTCGCTGCCTGTGCTCGCCTTTTCGGGCTCCGTCCGTAGTCCGTTGCTCGGAGCGCGAGCGCGGAAAGGTGCGCCGTGCCACTGCCGTGCCGCGCCGTGCCTGCCCTGGCTCCTTTGACACTGGTATTGTCGGCCTGTCTGCCAGGATATCAATAGGTACACTGTCGGCAATGGCGCACCGAGGTGTGCGCCAGAAAACGACGCCGGGGGGAAGGGGGGCGGGGCGGGGCCCGGGCCGGCAGGGGCACCGGTACCCTCCGGCCTGCGCAAGGAATCCGCAGTGAGAGTGCAAGGAGAGGCCGCACGGGGCAGCGGAGGCAGCGGAGAGGGAAAACTATTTTCGTCCTTGTTTCTCGCTTCGCCTGCACTGCCGCGGTGATAAGCCACTTTTTCCGCGCGGCGGTCAGCAGCGCCACTGTGCAGCGCTCCGGCTGACTGGCCAGGGACTGGCCGGCGCGGGGATTTTACGGCGCTGATTTACGATAGGGGAGGAAATTTACATTTGCCCTCCGCTCCGCGAGTGACCTCCACTGCCCCATCCCGTCCACCACGAGGTCCCCCACCCCCTCGCTAACGTGCAGGTTTCCTCCAGGGGGCCGTAAAGAGCCTTGAAGGTGAGGAAACCCCCTGGCAGCCCCAACCCACCCCCACCACCGCCACTCGGCAGGCGGGGAAGGGGCGGCGCCGTACCCGTACCCCTTGGCTCCCTTTACAAGAGTCCACGTGGATCGACTACAGTGTCCACCCGCGCACGCGTGACCCGACACGTGTGATGCCAGACAATGAAAAGTTAGTGAAACCGGTCGGGGCGGATTGGCAGATTGGTCCGTGCTGGAGATTGGCACTCTGGAGGAGGTCGAGGCCCTGTTGACCCAGTGTCTACCGTCTACGCCGCTGCCGCGTGGCGTGGCTGGGGCTGCTGGGGCCGTTCAAGGGCGAGTAGAGCGTCCGGGACTCGAGGGCCATGGCCGCGGCGCCGCGGCGGTGGTGAAGGCCGACGAGGTTCACCACGACCCGGACAGGTACACGGTCGCGGAACAGGGGGTAGTGGGGGCCGGCCGGCGGGGCCGGCGGGGCTCCCAGCTGATCCATGCGGTGCGGCCGGGCCGAGCGGCCGGCCCGGTGGGCGCGGCGCCGTGCGGGGGCGGCACGGCGGCCAGGCGGTCGCTACACCTCCACGACGTGCCATTCAACGTCGGCGGCAAGGCAAGGCGGCAACGCGTGCGACGCGTGCAACGTGGGCCGAAAAGCCGACGGCAACAACTTGCTGCCGCTCGCCGTGCTGGCCATTCACGCCAACGCCGACGAGGGCGGGCAGGGCGGCGGGCAGCGCTCTGATTCACGGTCGTGCTGGACGCGAGGCCGCCAGGGCCACCACGCCACCCCCAGCCTGAAGGACGAAGCCACTCGCTGGCGAGCAGCGCCACCCACCTCGCCGAGGCCCTGCCGCTGCCGCCATGACCCACCCCAACGGAGCCCCACGGCCGTGCGCCGCACGCGGTGGGCCGCACGCGCTACACCGGATTACGACATCGCTGCTTGCTCTGCTTGCTCTGCTTGCGTTGCAGTGCTGCACTCACTTGGCTGGCGAAGGGCGGCGAGTCCCGGGGCGCGTCCTCGACGTCGAGGAGGCGAGCAAGGCCGAGGTTCACTCCGCGCTGGGGGGCATAGCCGGAGGCGGTCCGTGCGAGCGCGAGGGTTGTCGCGGAAGAGCTGTCGACGTCGAACGACGGCAACCCTCCTGGCGGCGAGGGAGAGAGCGAGAGCACGCGCGTGGGTCCTTGTCTCCTTGTCGGACGTTGTCGGAGCGGCCAAGTGGAGTGAAGGAAAGAGACTGACTGACTGACGAACGACCACACCGGACCGGCCTGGCACTCTGGCGGTGCTCTGGCACGCCGACAGGCCCGACAGGCCACACCACGACACGCCGGGCAGGCCATGCACGCCTGCCGCGCCACTGCTCTGGTGCCCTACCGCCCGCCCCGCCCCGCCCCGCCCCGCCGGCTGTCCTAGCCCCGCCCCGCACCCCCCGTACCCCGCCACTCCACCGGCAGGCGGCAAGCCCAAGCTGGCAGCACAACCACTTCGCGCGCCGGTAGCCCCTTGCCTGGCCCCCTCCCCCACCTCTTCGTACCTCCACCTCGCCGAGCCTCCCTTGCCCGAGGCTTGCCGCCCTTCCCCTTCCCTTGCCCGCCTTGCCGCCCCCGAACCCGAAACACGCGAACACGCGGCCCGTGGCCCGACCGCTGTCCGCGCCGAGCACCCCGTCGAGGCCCCCGCGCTGGCCCGACCACTGCGCGGCCCTAGCGAGGCGGTCGTCAACCTGACCCGATCCTAAGAGACTTCCAGTGAGGCTGGACAACGCCGAATGCCATGAAGTGCACACACGCCGCTGCTGCTTTTCCGCCGACCTGCACGCGCAGGCTTGGGAATTCCCTCTGGCGCCGCGTGGGGCTGTGGTGGGTGGACTCACCCCGGGCTGGAGCTGGCACAGGCCGACGCACTGTCGGTCGGGCACCGGGTGGCGGATGGCGCGCGTCCCACTAGAAACTGAATGGGCAGACTGCCGTGGGGCTCAAGACGAGTGAATCTAGAACCGCCTCCCCCACCAGGCCGGCCGCACCACCACGCCCACCAGCACACAATACACAACACCACGTGCAGAGCACGCCGATCCACCGGCGGGGGCCAATCCGGCGGGGGCCGGCCAACCCGGCTGGGGCGCGTACCCGTCGTCGCGATCCTCGCGAAAATGCGTGACGTTGTGCAAAGCCCTACTTCCCCCTCTCTCTCTTTCTCCGCCGCAGGTCCTGGGTCTCTTCTCTTCGTTCATCGGCGTGCTTGGCGTGCTATTTCCCCCTCCCTTTCCCCCGAATCGCGAGTCGCTGCCGCGGCTGTTGCAACGCGCCGTGCAACGCGTTTGACGTCTCGTTTGACGTGGGCGGGGCCCGCGGGGCGGCGGGGCGCCAGGCCGGGCTCGCGGCTGCACTCCGCGCTGCTCTAATTAAAAGGCTCTGTCTCTCTCGCACCTCTGCGGCACGAACCGCGGTGCGAGAGAGACAGAGAGCGACAAAATCGCTGCTCTGAACCAGACAGCTGGTGAACAGAGTGACTGTCAAGGGGTTAGGAGCAAATTTCATATTTTAAGGGTTGGCTGTTCTGCGTTGAAGGAGATGAACCATCAGTAAAAACGCCCCCTGTCCTTCGTCTTGACAGCGATTTTTCAAGAAACATTTCCAACCCTATTTCCCGTTGACGGGGGTGCGGGTGCGTCAGTCCACGCGTCATTCAGACAGACCCCCCGAAAAATTCCGCCGTTTCACCACGGCACGCAAAGGCGCGAACGCAGGGCGAGATAAACCACCTTCTTTGTCCTTATCCCGCCAGACTGGGAGGCTGAGGCCGGGATTAGTGATTAGCCACTCATGCCGACGAGGCGAAAAGCAGGCAAAGCAAAGCGCGTCGCTATTCTCGGCGCGCGCCTGCACGCCGCCCTTCTTGGAGTGCACCGCGTCCCTTCCCACGCATGACGCCACGGCAGCCACGGCAGCCACGCGAAGCGCGAAGGTGGTGTCCTTGAACAGTCAAGGGACTTTGCCGACGGGCAGGGCTAGGCAGGGCGAGCCAGCGCGGCGCGGGTTCAAGGGCGCCGGCCTGTCGCCCTCACCGCCTTCTTCAGCTTCTTCAGCCTGCGGTGGCCGCGGCAGGCAGCCAGTCGGGCGCCGCAGCGGCGCGCTGGCCCGCCTCCACGGCGCTTCAGGAGAGTCAGCGCTTCCACTGTCTCTCTCACACTTCCGGCACGAGTCACGAGCGCGATAGAGACAGAGCGACCAAATCAATCTGTTCGAAACCGACGACGGTCAAATGGCGCAGCGCGACGAACCGTGTTTGTTTTCGCCGCGCTCGGCGCAAGGCGGCGCTTTGTGTTTTACAGTGCAGCCGCGCCAATATCGCGACTGCAGTCGTTCGTTCCGGTCGGGCCGCGTGGTCGCCGCGTGGTCGCGTGGCCGCGGACTGCGCAGTGGCCGCGCAAGCCGCGCACCTGGCAAGGGAAGGGACATTCCGGAACCGGTACATTGTCGGCATGGCACTCGAGTCATCGACTGCGATGGAAGACGAATTCGATTCGCGGTTCAGAATGGCACTCGAAAAACCATGGCGACCGTTCTGCGGCGCAGCTCGCGATTTGCCGCGGAGGCGGAAACGGTCCAAATCCGTGCCGCCCGTGTGGCGCACGGCTCCGAGGCTCCGCAAGGCAGGCCTGCGCGTTCGTTGGTTGATTACCGGTGCGAGTCCTTGTCCTCCGAGTCCGGCCCTGGTCCGAGTCTCCGAGTGCAGTGCAGGGCGACGCAGTGCCGAGTGCAGGCTGAGGGTCTCCGACCGCCGGTCCGGCACGGCATCACGGCAGCATGAAACCCTCCGTGCCCCTCCTGGGTCAGGTTCTTCGGGGGTTGCCTGTCTGTCAGGGGGGAGCGGCGTGGCCCCATTTGACGCAGGGAATGCCACGCAGCTGCCCCGTTCCTGTTGTTGGAATAATTCATTCCGTTTCTCAATGGCTTCCTCCCTTTGCCTTCAGTTGCAGCGACACTGACGCTGCTCTGGTCCGCGGCGTCCGGGGATGCGCCCACGGCCAACAAGTGCAACATGGTGTGTGGCAGAAACTACGACCCTGTCTGTGGAGAGGACCAAGGAGTTCAGAAGACCTTTTCCAACAGGTGCATGATGGAGTACTACAACTGTCTCAAAGGAACTGGTAATTTGAAATGGCCGACATTGCTCTCGATTTAAAAAAAAACAGAAATCACAAGCAATACTTGATTTATTGTGGTGATTTACAGATTTCGTCATTGTCATACTGGATGAATGTGCCAATGAAGAGAAACTTCCGTTCTGATCTCCAGTTAAATGTATATTTCATATGAACCTCACCTGGTGATTTTGATTGCTAGTTATAAATTATGACGTTGGGAGGCTAAATTCTTTTCACTTGTGTAACAATGTCCAATACCAATTCTCTTTGTAACATCTTGCCAAGTTTCCTGAGCATGAATTTCAGCTCTTTGTGCCCCAGCCTGTAACACCTGCTCAAGGTATGCTGGTTCCTTCATAAGATTGAGATACTTCTCTCTGATAGGACAAAGGACTTCTATTATCTCATTTGCCATAGTCATTTTATACCTGCAAAACAATAAAAGTTGTCAGTTTGCCAAAATAAGAGAAATATCTTTAGTCTTCGTGAGTTTTGTAGTGCACTTACTCTCCAGATTCCTTCCCAGCAGCCTCTTGACAAATAGCATCTATAGATTTTCCAGTGAGAGAGGAATGAATAACAAGTAAATTAGAAATGCCTGGTCGGTTATCTGGATCATATGCCACAGCAGATACACAATCCGTCACAGCTTTTTTGCATTTAGTTAATATTTCATCAGCTGAGTCATATAAATTAATACGGCTCCTTGGATCTTGATCTGATTTGGACATTTTATTGAGAGGATTGCGTAAACTCTTCAGACGGCGACTTGAATCTTCTGTAAATATTGATAACATTTTGATTTTAATCAAATAAAAAATTCTACATACTGTACATAAATCTGAAACGAAATTGAAACACCAACCATTGATTAATGCTTGTGGAATTGGGAAAGTATTCCCAAAGCGTTTATTAAATGTTCTGGCCAAGAATGAAGCCAAATTAAGGTGAGAAATCTGGTCTTCCCCTACTGGAACAAGAGTGGCCCTGCAAAAGGAAAAAAGAGCAGGGTATTAATCTCTTGTTGCTTCACAAGTACTGCCCATATCCAAAGTATAAATTACTTGTAAAGTAGAATGTCAGCAGCTTGTAAAACTGGATAAAGGTACAGAGCAGTTGACAGTTCTTGTAAAACATTACGTTTTTCTCTTAACTGAGCCTGTTGACCCAATTTTGCCATAGTCGTAAGGCTAGCCAGGACCCAACAAAGCTGGGTGTGATATACAACCTGGAATGAAATCAAGGTATGAACATATATTTCATGAAAATGGTTTGCTAATACAGTGGCGATACCCAGCAATGTTCTTACTTTGGATTGCTGAAACAACACACACTTCTTTGGATCCACACCACATGCTAAAAGGCTTGCAGTCATTTCTAAAATACCTTGCTGCAAAGTTTTAGGATCCTAAAGAAAATGAAAGATCGTTAGTCAATTATGCAAAAGAACGGCCACCACTGTCTGGTCAATTTCCCCTTCACGAGTAAAGTTACCTGAGGAACGGTGATAGCATGTAGATCTGCTATGCTGTAGAATGCTTCCTCACCAGAATTTTGAAGTTCCACCCATTTCTTGATTGCTCCTAAATAATTACCTAAGTGGAGGGATCCTGTTGGTTGAATCCCTGACACAATTCGTCTCGCTGGACCACTCTGAAATTATTAAAAGAAAAGTTTGGTTAATGTGAGAATTGAGCAGTTATCTTCCTGAACTATTCTGCTTTGCATCACCGTCATAATGTGAATGGTTTCATTCAAGCCGATGAAAAAATTATTATTTTGAGTCCCTTAAGAATAAGGAACTAACCAACGAGTACTGTGGCTTAGATGAATAATATTACCTTCTCAGCCTTGGCAGTGCCATATCTTGCACTCCCCATAGATCTTACAATAAAATTGTTTAAAGGCACCCGTGACACCCGCATGATTCCGCTACATAAAAAAGTATTTTAAACATAAAAATAACCAATATACTCTTAGCAGACGATGGGAGCAGCCATGTTCACACCGTCTTCTGTTTGTTGATATTTGGGGCACAAATTTTTCATATGTCGTTGCCGTTAAGTTTTTATGTTATTTTTGGAGGAAAATTTCTGCGAGATCTGATCAAAGTAAGAACATTTCATACTGTCCGTAACATTTTTTCAATGTTTTCCAATGCTGTTATTTCGTATTTCATGGCTTAAACGGTCTCTTCCGCGGAAAATTTTCTTTTTTCGTGGTGGCAGCACTGTAGGTCAGCTGGTACGTGCGCAGCCGTTTTTTGGCAGCTCTAGCGTCGAAAAATCTCAAGTGTTCAGTCGTCTGCGCCCGAACAGCGAAATGGCTACTTTGGCGAAAAAGATTGTGTCCCCCGTGGCCTCTGGGGCACGTCTTATGTCCACCGGAGGCGGAGGCGCTTCTGCCACTGCTGGAAAACATGGTAAGTCGGAAGACACCCTCCTTGCCCACTGACTTATTCCGATTCCTAAGTGGCGTTCCGTAGGTTATGTAGCGATCGTCCACTTTGACCTCAAGCTCGATTTTTGTTCAGTATTTTGATTTCCTCCTTTGTTATGGTATAGGTCAGTGTTGAAATTGTTTGCCATTTTTTTTTGTTTTCTCACTGCATGACCTTGAGTGCTAATCATGTTTCCATAAGTGCCTCAACATGTACTCACTTTTGGAGGTTAAACATTAACTTCATGGAAAAATGGCACCCTATTCTTGTGTCTCTCACCATGTTTTCGGACATGAGGGTAGTTGAATTGCACTTTATGGCCAAAATTTGAAAGAAGGTCCTTTTTTTCTGTTCTTGTCTTCAAGGACAGGCCCACTTCTCTTGGGTCTTCTTGTCGCTTTTTCCCCTGTCATAATTGGTTCTTTCCGTATTTGCAGCTGAAGCCCATGCCAAGATGTGGGCGAACATTAGCTACTTCCTGGTCCTTCCTGGCGTAGCCATTGCTAGCTTCATCACATTCAAGAACGAGTCTGCGCACCACGAGCCTCCTCCGGAATTCGTCCCCTATGAGCACATGCGCATCCGCAAGAAGGTATGTCCAGGATGTTTTCTCAGAGTCAAGTTTCTGAACTGTTGCATGTTTCTACATTTTTTTATTTTTTTCAGAACTTCCCCTTCGGTGACGGCAAGAGATCTTTCTTCCACAACCCGGAGACCAACCCTCTTCCTGATGGCTATGAAGTTGAGCCCCACCACTAGATACCTGATTGGTTTTAGTAGTGTACCTAATAACTGAGGTTTCCTCAATTCTGTTTAATGTTAAAGCATTGTTTTCTCATGTTGTCATGTGAGATATTCCAAGTCCCTGAACTGTATAAATTATGTCAGAAAATCTTAACTCCGTATGTTTGTACAGCAAAACCATAATAAAACTGTAAACTCAACTTTTTGGGTTATTCTGCAATCTCTATGCGTGTATAGGGGTGCTGGATGTTTGCAAAAATTAAGTTGATCTAAGGGAATCAAATTTTAATTTACATAACATTGATAGACAAGCGGCTTCTATAACACATTTTCTTCAGGAACAAGAATCACCAATTCAGTTAGGAGTTTGGCACATTCAATTCTGGTAAATCAGACAAAATCCACAGCATCAATGATTGGCAAGCCCAATGAGACTGGGGCACTTATCAGTCTTGACAAACTTACTTCACCTTCTTCAACTAATTCATTTAAGAAGGATTTGGTTCAAAAATTCAAGGTAAATCTTTTACTAGAATAACATAAACTCACTTACAAAGTGGGGTATAAGATACATAAAAATTTTATAATTTGTAAAACTTATAAAAATATTATATAATCTATTTAACAAAAAGGTTATTGCAGTAACAAGTATTTTCAAGGTATAATAATTAGGACAACTTTGTAACATCAATTAAAACTTGATGAAAATATAATATCATTTAAAACAGAGTATTTAGGGTAAAAAATGGCACAGGAGAAATACCTTCACCATAAAGTCTTGAAGATGAGAACAGAAGATAAAAAAGGAGACAACTCAAAGCTTACAGTTAAAATATCAGTGTAACTCTTGGTACAAATTTGAATCTTCTGGGTCTGTAACACCATGAGCAGCAAGTTCTTCCAGACAGTGATCCAGGTATTCAGGGTCAGGGTATCCGTGTCCACTGTGACTGATACCAGGTTCTGTTTTATGATGAATCTCATTCCATGTTACAACATCCTCCCTCCCTGTGGTAACTGATCGTCCCACTGTAAAAACCAGGCGGCGCTCAAAAGCCATTCGCAGCAGTTTCAGAACCTGACAAAATCAAATCAAAATTGTTCTTACTCCACACAACAAGAAATAATGGCTTCAGGAGCCGGAAAATTAATGAGACTCTCTTACCTTCCTCCCCTTTTCTGTGTCAGGAATGTAACAAACTCGAGGGAAGCCAACAGCATAATATGGTCGTCCAGGGTTAGGATGCTCCATTCCTTGAATCCCAGATGCTATGCTAAAAAAATTAAAACGGGGTGAGGCATTAAAGAGGATATTCCTAGTAAGTATTAGGAGGTAATGATACGGATAACTATATGGTCAACTTACTTGTATGTTATTTGGAAAGTCCTTGTTCCAGGGTGGCCAGGCAAGGAGTAATGAAGAATAGTCCAATCCATTGAACCGGGTGGCTGATTACCACGTTTCTCACCATAGATTGTTTTACACACGGGACATTGGATGTAAAGCCACTATAAAAAGCAAAATGAAAAATATTTCACTTAAAATTGCACACACACACCCAAAATAGGAAAAAAAAAAAAAAACTTAGCAAGAGCAAGGGGTTTGAAGATTCATTGAACCAACCTTATCTGCACATGGTAATCCAGTTAACATGCTATTCAGGCAATTTAGGTGGAGCATGTGTGAGCAACGGGACAATGCCACTGTCATATCATCTTGAAGATCACAGAGACAAATAGGGCATGTGGACCCCCAGCAAGGATTATCAACAACTTGTACATACTGGGAAATTACTTCGCTTGCAGCATCAACTCCTGTTAAGTAAGATGTCGCTTTTAATTTCTCTACACTTTACTCTCAATATCATTTCATTTTCACAACTGACATGAAGTATTCTCTTACCAACAATGACCCCTTTGGCGCGATGATGTGGAGGTCTCTGAGGAGGAGCTGAGTCAAACACCTCATCACAGCTACTGCCACCACAATCCAGTAAGTCAGACACAGTGTTCTGGAAAATGTGACAAGTGTGTTACAGAATGCACACAACACGTAACCAAGATTAACTTGATTGGCATATGAAATCCCTCACCCTTGACGCTCTCAGTTCACTGTCCTTTGATTCTTGACTCAGATAGGTGGACACGGTATCGACAGACGGTCGACGTCCACTTTTAGTACTGCTGGAATCGGCATCCAGGACTGAATCGGGCCGGTCTGGCCTCAACATACAACTAGCACTGCTGCTCGGCCGATAAGAGGGTGGGTGCTTCTGGACGGTGGGTGCTCGGTAGGCGGGGCTTATCGTTAAGGCACCAGAGGTACCGTTATGGACCCCTCCTTTATTTCCTGGAAACCAAAAATAGTTCAAATCAGTAAGGTTCAGATGACAAATCGATTCAAGTCAATCATGATTAAATGCTGCCCCAAAACTTACCAAATATGTTACTTAATATTGTGCGTGCTATGTTTCCAGCTCCTTCACTGGGGTTCTTAACCTTTTTACTTGTCTTCTTGGCATTACCATTTGCTAGTGCTGTGGGCTGTTTTTTTCCACCACAACTGGTACCACTCCATGAGCTTCCTCCACTGCCATTACTTGCAATCGACCCAGTGGGTGTTAACTGACGTGGCTGATTGGTTCTCCTAGTGTCTGATTCAAGTAGTAACAATCACATTAAAAAAATTATTACTTTGTTTCAGGTTCTAATTAGTAGAGTATTCATGAACAGATTTATGTACAGTTTGTTTTCTCACTTTGAAACGGAGGAGGGCTTGGACTTGTGACAAGATCCTGTGGTAGGACTTTCAACAACGGGTAAGGGGCCTGCTGGACTCTTCTGATACTTCTAACGTAGCCAGTGTTGTTGCGTACTTGAGTGAGGTTGCAAAAATTGATAATATATGGGAATCCTAGATGGTGTGACTTACTGACATCTATAGTCTTTTCTCCCTAGGAAACATAATTTAAATTAGTTATTGCTTCACTGATAAGGCATGAGACTTCTTTCAATGCTACTTACTTTGGCCCAAGCTTCTTCAATGAGACACTGAATGTCCATATCATATGTATGCCATTCTCCAATTGAGTCTCCTGCCCACTCCCATTTGGCACCTTTACCAGCTGGTGAATCCACAGGGTAACATTGCCGTCTGACACTGTGAGACGTACTGACAGCTGCAAAATAAAAACAGGTGTCAGTAATCATGCAATAAAGGGGTCATCGACCAAAGGCCAAAGGTCACTTCCAGGGAAAGTACCCATACACCAATGTGCATCATCAATGCAATTGCTGCACCTCTCCATCATCAAAGCAGTCTCATTTATTCATAAAGGAAATTCATTGGTGGATGCCAGCTGCTCACCTAGGTCATCGCTGCACTGGGTCTTTGTCCTGAGGTTAACGTAGTACCTCTCCAGGAGCGGATCAGCATCGCTGAGAATCACTCTGGTCAGCCTCTTGGCGTGGGCCCTCTCCAGGAGCTGGGACACCTCGGGGCTGTAGGGCCGCCAGCGCCCCTGCCTGTTCTCCCACTCCCAGACCCCCACGGCATGCACTGCATGGGGTTGGCTGGGGCCAGGGTGGCCCGGGCCTCCGCTCGGTCCACTGGAGCCTCCGGGACCACCGTGCCCTCCAGGACCGCCACCGGGTCCTGCGCCGAGGCCGAGGGTTGCCCCGGCCCCACCGGCCGGAGAAGCGGACATCACTCCACCGTCTTGTCTCACATCATCGGGACGGGGACGGGGCGGCCTCTTGCTCTTCCAGCCCTCCAGCCTCCAGCTCCAGACCCGGAACTCGGCCTACAGTGCAGGTGCAGTGCGGGCCTCAGGTCACTGCGGCGCAGCTTTCGTGGGGCGAAATCATGGCGCCGGGGCTACCCGATCAATAAAAAGACGGCCGGGAAACGTCAGACGGGGAGCGAAGGGGTTAAACCACGGAATTTGGGACCGGAGAGCAGATCCAAACAATCACACAAAACAAACAAAAACAAGTGAGTTTCCAACAAGTGGCAGGTTCCTGCAGCCAACCCCAGGACATTGGAAATTTTCTGGCAGTGCTCAAGGATATAATACAACCATTTGGATCATTTATGCCCAAAACTAAATTAAAACTTACATAGTAATGTTTTAAAATAAATACACATATCGATTTACGTTCGAAATCAATGCATCGACTTGCTGTAGATCTAAGTTTTGTTCAGGCTTGTTGGCAATGGCACCTTCTTTTGTTTTTTCTTGTCAACGCCATCTGATTGGCGAGCGGGATTTGGACAAGGAACTTTTGAACACTGTCATTTTATCATTTAAGCAATGATTTTTTAACTCGGTTGTCATGGTTATCTGGCTAGTTTTTCGATCTTATTCAAAATGACTAGACCTTGAGATATCCTTTGAAACAGTTTTTTACTTTATGACAAAGCTGAATGATATCTAGGCTGCTTGTCTGAACTGTTTTGTTGAGGTAACCTCAGAATTTTGTGTGTCAAATTTTTATAAAATTATACACAAAACATTGTGTGTGACAGCTTTCAGTTGGGGAAATAATTACGATGATGCCATCCCTGTATCTTCCTCAATGGTTGTGTGAAATTTAGAGTGTTTCCTTTCAAAATTTATTTGTTTACATATTTTTACCACTACTAAAGAGATATGATGGGACATTTCTTTTTCTTCTGAACAAAGTTTTTTGATCTAAAAGTGATATCAATATACCTTTTGAATTTATTGGACATACTGACCTCAGTGTCACACCTCCAATTCCTTTGAAAAAGAAATCAGCTCTAGTGCATCTATTTTGAAAACTGAAGACTGCTCTCTTCATCTAACCTATGTTTGGACTAGGATGTCCTATTTATGATAAGAAAAGTCCTTATTTCATTCTGATTTTCTGTTTTCAGGTATTACAGTTTGAATATCATGAAAGGAGAAAGGCGGTATGATGTCAACCAGGCCAGACAACGCTGCACTTCTTGGCTGGAGGCTCATCATTCAGATAATGAAGATCTTGCCCTAGATGACACAGACCCTCTCTCCGATCCACTTCAAGATACTGTCACTTACTCGGCTGATGAGGAAGTATCAAATTACAGTCAACCTGAAAAGAAACGCAAAAGAAATCCATTTCGAGAAGAGGAGCTCTCTGAACTCAGCGAAGTGTCTCAAGACCAGCCCAAACATGGTCGTCCTAAAAAGGTTTATGTAAGTAGAATGATTGTGTTTCATCTCCATAATTTGGTGTTTTAACTATTATATCATATTAGAATTGGTTAATTCTTATCCTAGTGTCATCATTAAACCAGTATCAATGTTAGTTATCTGTTCTCGTGTACTGCAGGACGATGCTGAAGGGGACACTTCAGTGGCTAGTGACGAGATGTCAGACATGGCATTTAAGAAACCTCTGACCATAAAAGCTGAAGTCCTCCAACTTGACTGTGGGTGGAAGAATTGTAGCTATGTGACATCAGAGGCAGAAGCGTTTGTCAATCATGTTTCATCCCACATACCTCAGTTAGGAATAAAGCGTAATGAAGATGATGATGAAGGTCTGGCTCTTTATTGACATTATCATGATTCTCACACATAATCTTTTTTGTTTGATCTTAAGAGAGCAATGCCCAATTCTGATTCCAGAGGTCTACACATGTCTTTGGGAACGTTGTGAGTTTGAGACTCCCAATGGTGATGAGGTGACGCGCCATGTCAATTTCCACTCATACCACACCAAAGTTAAATACATCGGAGCTCTTATATGCCGTTCTTGGAAACTCCCAGTATGTTCTAGTTGATGTAGTTTTAACTTACCCTTCAGATTGACTCCTAATAAATTTTCTTTCTAACTTGCAGGAATGCACTAACGATGCTGCAGGTGTCAATCTTGTTCCCGATTTACCTGAACCTTTGCAATGTCTATGGAATGAATGTCCCCTAACTTCTAATAACCCTAATATATTCTATGCCCATGTGGCCATGCACTCTCAGGAAATACCCCACTATGGCCGCGGGGATAAAAATATCAAAAAGTTCAAGTGTTTGTGGAAAGGTAATATTTTTAGGCAAATACCGTAGGGTATTAATGTCTTGTGTTCTTTATAGTGGCTCACTCTGTATTCTTTTTCATGAATAGGTTGCAGGTCTGAAATGCCATCTAGGAAGCGAATGCAGGAACATTTGAGAGGGCATTCAAAAGAGAGACAAGCTGCTTGTCCAACTTGCGGGGCCCTTTACTCCAGTCGAATGAGGCTCATAGATCACATTAAAAGACAGGCAGCAGAAGAAAGTAAGATTGTATTTCTTGATTAAAACTGACTTATTTTGTGTTAATATGAAATTTAAAAAAAATCACATTTGTTTGAATTTACAGATTTAACTTACCAGTGCACTCATTGCTCACGTGCTTACCCATCAGAGAGAATATTAAGAGACCATATGCGCCATCATGTGAATCACTATAAATGTCAGTTCTGTGATATGACATGCCCCACCCCACACTCTCTTAGTAACCATATACGTCATAGGCACATAGATGAGAAACCTTTCGCATGTGAATATTGTGATTATAGGCAAGTATCTTCAAAATTTATTTGTGACTTTGTCAAAACAATTTGCACAAACCTTAATTTTTGTTGCGTTTCTAGAGCTAAAACTCAGTACAATGTAAGGAGACATATGGCTACACACTCAGGAGCAGACAATTTTGTTTGTGATGAGGAGGATTGTAGCTTTTCTTGCCGGACACTTAGTATTCTAAATTGGCACTACCGTAAGGTAATATAGTGTTGTTGTAGGTTTATATGCCTATATTTATAGTTTAATATTTAATTTAGTTATTATGTGCCCTTAAATTTACAGAAACATGAGTCGCGTGCTGTGTATTGCTGTCACATGTGTGATATGAGGTTTGCTCGTGGTGCATATCTCACAAGACATTTAATGAAGAAACACAATTTTCGTTGGCCTTCTGGTCACACTCGATTTAGGTATTCTTCTTTTCTTGGTTGGTGTGAAAAATTGTCTCACACTAGCGTTCTTAAAGCACAATCTTCTGAATTTCCAGGTTTTACAAAAATCATGAAGATGGTCTATTTCGCCTTCAAACCGTGCGCTATGAAAGTCTTGATGTTGTCGAAGACATAAATAGAAGAGAAGGAGAGCCAACATCTGTCCTAGATCAGGACTGTAAGTTCAACATATCTAAAGCATCTGGTACTACAAAGGATGTTGCTGCAAATTTCATTGTCAATGTCAATGATGACAATGAGGATCCAGATGATCCTGATGCCATCTGTACTGACAGTGGGGATTCCCCTTGTAGAGGTAACTTTCTGTCTCTTGGTTTGGAAAAACTGCTGGGTTTCAGTCTCAGCGCTATGGTTTCCTTGATAATTCGAACTAATTCTGTTGTTTCAGTTCCTTTGAACATGCCCAGTCTGGACTTTGACAGCCCAACTAAACACAAGACAGTTTATATTTCTATTGATGAAGTGGATTGCGATGGAAATGTCATTAGTTCAAAAACTTTAGAAGCAGAAGAACTTAGTGATGGAGATGAACTCGAGAATGCTCAAATTGTTACTGATGGTTTCTTTTTATAAGTAACTAATATTAGGAGTAGTATAAAAAAATCTTTGTGCCTCCTGACAAACTACAAATTCAAACATGTGATAAACTCTTCTTCATCCTCTTTTTGCCTATCTAGAGTGAATTACAGTAGGGTAGGATACCTTATAAATTAAAAGGTATATTTTGGTTTTTCTTTTAGTTTAAAAATCCATGTATGTTTAGTAAAAACTATGTTCCTTTTATTTTTTTTTAGCTTTGAGAATGTGTAGTATTCACTTTTTCCTTATATCATTGTCTCTTACATTTTTGCCCATCCTTTTTTTCTTTTCTTTCTTAGCATCCATTTCACTTGGAACATTTGAGTGAGCAATTGTTTTATTTCCAGACAGTCTTCGTACAGACATTGATTTTACATGTCAACTTTGTGATTTAATTTTCATTTTATTCTTGTTGTTTTTAGTTTTTTCTGACTTTAAATAAATCTTAAGTTACTCATGCACTTTTGTTTCTTAAAAGATTTTCCAACAAAAGGATATACTGTATGTGAGGGAAGCTTGGTTTTAGACTGAATGATTAAGTGTGGTCAATTTTTATAAAAGAGAGATTTATTAACAGTCTCCAGGTAATATTAAGTATTTACAATGTTGGCAACACTATGTTTCCTTTTTTTATCACTACATTTTATTTCTGGTAACTTTCTGATGCAGTTTTTAATGTAGATACTATCTCAGTCTAAAGATGTCGAAGTCCTGTACAAAGCTGAACTTTCATGATGCCCTCAATGACTCTTCTATGTCACAAGGCAAGTATAATTAATTTTTGTCCTGTCTTCTGTCCACTAGCTGTTTGCAGCCTGTAAGAAACACTGTTTTAAAAACATGTCGATTCTGCCTCAGCTTACATGCGCTTACATTATTAGTCTGTGTACTAATGCCCTTATTTGAACAGGAAGTTATGACTTCAGATCTCACATCGGTTGTCGTTTGTTTGGTAACTTTTCCTTCGCTAGACTGCATGCATAATTTGATGGCGCACTTCAAAAAATTCCAAAGCTCATTTGCTGGTTTTTTACAGCATTCATTTTGCACTGTTTCGAATTTCAACATTTTGGGTTACAACCAATATGGCAGACATCCTCAACCCATCATTCTCACTCACACACACATATACACACACAAACACACACACTCACACACATTAAAAGAGAATATCCAAGTGGATTACAAGAAAATCGTACATAAAAAATTAAATAAGGAACACATTGAGCTGCAAACTAGTTCGCAAACACGGTCATAAACGAAGATGTTGGAAGGCATTGCCTTTCGTACAAAGGTACATTTTGTAATTGCAGCCACCAAGGACTCATGCAGAAAAAGATTGCTCTTCCAGCCAAAATTTGAAAATACTATGACACAATTTGAAGGGCAGAAGGCAGAATAATGTTCTGTACAAAGTAAATCACATCAAATTGTGTCAAATTGTTTTCGGCGGAGGGATGCCTACTTTGCCACCAGTGACTCTGTGCAACAGCACTCACACTGCTTGGGATCAACACTATTTTTGTTTCTCGCAAAATATTGTTTGTGATACACCTATGCCAGGGCGGTTCATAATTTTGATGTCGGAACCCAAGCTAATTTTTCCCTACTCATCCGGCCCAGCCGACTCTTTTTTGTGACATTTTCGTTATCTTTCAAAACACAATAACAACAAACTTTAACACACAGCCCACTCAGACTGACGCGTGCCGTGGCGGCGTCGACGTTAGCGCGTCTATCGCGGTCATGACGTCATGACGCCGTCCTCGTCCTCAGCGTCCTGGAGGCACGTCCTCAGTTCTTGCTTCTTTTTTGTCCTACCCAATAATATGGCCTTGCACTTGCTTCACTGGTCCTTCTTGATCTTGACGCTGTCCGTGCGCGTCTTGGCGAAGTGCGAGTCGCTGATGGGGTCGAGGCCGTACTCGTATGCCCCCGCGTCGCTGTCGTCGTAGTACGCGTAGTCGTAGTCGTTCTTGGGCGCCACGGCGGCGGCCGTGGACTTGAGCGGCGCGGCGGCGGTGGGGCTGGCCTGCTGGTTCTGCACCACCTTGGCGGTGTACTTCTTGGGCGGCGGCGGCGCGGCCGTGGTGACGGCGGCGGCGGATGCTCTGCTGGGCGACGACGGCCTGCTGTTGCTGTTGAACTGGTTGTTGAAGGCCGCCACCGTGCTGGGCGCGCTGGTCGGCGAGTAGCTCTGGGGTGCGGGCGACGGCGAGAACGGCCTGGGGGCGTTCTGCGGGCTGTAGAAGTTGTTGTTATTGTTGTTGTTGTAGGCGGCGCTGGTCTGCTGCTGGGTGGTGCCGGCGGTGCCTGCCGAGGACGTGGCCTGTCGCTGGGGCTGCGGGGTGGTCTGCGGGGGGCTGAAGGGCGCGGGCCGAGGGCTGGTGGGGAAGTACACGGGGAAGGCGGAGCTGGGCTTGGTGGCCGCGGTGGTCTGGTTGGCGGCGGCCGAGCTGGTCGAGGCCTTGGTGTTGTACGCGCTGTTGCCGTTGTCCTTGTTGTACGTGGTGGCACGGTTGAACGAGTTGAAGTCGCTGGCGCGGTAGTTGTTGGAGTGCGCCGTCTTCAGGAACTCCTGCTCCTCGGGGTGCTCGTAGTCGTCAGCCGTGGTCTCGCCGTTGTTGTTGAGCTTGTAGGTGTTGTAGTTGAAGCGGTTGTTGTTGTTGGCCGTGGTGGTGGTGGCGGCCGGGGAGGATCCTCGCTGCTGGAAGGGCTGCGGGGTGGTCGGGAAGGTCGTCTGCTGCTGCTGTTGTGCTGCTGCTGCTGCTTGGCGTAGAACAGCGAGTACTGCTTCTGCTGGGTGGTGGTGGTGGGCGCGGGCGTCGACGGCGAGGTGAAGTACTCGGTGGCGGTGGTGGGCAGCTCGCCGCGCGACCGCTGGATCGTGTTGTAGCGCGCCTTGGTCTGGTAGTTGTGGTTGCGCGCCGCGTCCACGACGGTCGTGGTGGTGGCGGCCGCGGTGTACGCCGTCGTCGGCGCGCCCGACGTGAACGTCGTGAAGCCCTGCGTCTGGGAGGCCGCGGTGGGTCCGTGGGTGATCTGCGGGCAGAGCGACATGTAGCAGCGACAGCTCAAGACACGGGGCAAGGAGAGGAAGTCCTACTTACCGGCGCGATGGTGGTGCGGATGGCGGGGAAGTTGCCGCGCTGCCCGAACGCCTGGTTGGGGCTGTCCACGTTGCTGTGCTGGTCCAGCGTGTACGTCCTGAAGTACTCCTCGTCCTCCTCGAAGCGCCTCGGCTGCTGCTGGAACTGGGGCTGCTGCTGCTGGAACTGCTGCTTCTGCTGGAAGTTCTGCTCCTGGTCCTGGTCGCCCTTCTGGACCAGCTTCCTCCGGACGGTCACCTTCTTCTTGCGCTGCTGGTTGTTCTGGGCGAAGGCGTCCTGCTGCTGGAAGTTCTGTTGTTGTTGCTGCTGCTGGAAGTTCTGCTGCTGCTGGAAGTTCTGTCGCGGCGGCAGTGTGGTGGGGAAGGTCTGACGGGGCTGCTGAGTGGTGGGGAAGGTCCGCTGGGGCGGCTGCGTCGTCTGCTGGACATTGTTGTTGCGCTGCTGCTGGGGCTGCTGCTGGAAGTTGTTGTTGTTGTTAGGACGGGGTTGTTGCTGAGCCGGCTGCTGCTGCTGGTTGTTGTTGTTGGCAGGCCGCTGCTGAGGCTGCACCTGGTTGACGGGTCGCTGCTGCTGCAGGTGCTGCTGCTGGTACTGCTGCACGAAGGGTGGCAGCGGCCCGGGGTTCTTGGCCTTCTGGCTGTGGCGGAAGGCGTTGGGCCTGGTGTCGGGCTCGTAGTCGTCGTCGTCGTCCTTGCCACCGTTCTTGCTGTTGAAGAAGTTGCCGCTCTGCGAGCCCCTGCGCCACAAACAAGGGTTACTTTCGAGTTCGAACGGGACGCTGTCGCCTCTCCTCCCTGGTTCCGTCGCCCTGTCTCTCTCGCACTCGTGGGGCGGCCCGTGCGGGTGCGAGAGAGACAGGGCGTTTTTCTCCAGGACATTAATTTGGCCCTGCACTGGTAGACGAGCTGGTCGTCGCCCTACTTTAGGGCTCGGCGTTACGGCGTTACGGCGTTACGCCCACCCAAAGTGGTTGCCGCAAGGTCCCATGCGACCCGCGGCACGGCGCGGCACGGCGCGGCACGGCGCGGCCCCGAGCACCGCGGACAATGAGTCTGTTACAACAAGCGTGGAAAGCAACACCGCACTGCCGGCAAGGCGGCGCGAGGCGCGAGGCGCGAGGCGCAGTCAGACGGCCCGGCCCGGCGTCCCCGCCGACTCTGAGAATGAGTCAGGCCGGCCGCGCAGGCCGCACAGCGCAGGCTGCCTTCGCCTTGCGCCACGGGGAAAGGACTCGCTTCGCTTCGAACGCCGCCCAATCTACGAATGATATCCTCATCCGTTTGCTCGACTGCCGCCGCTTGCAGTGGGCTGACTAGGCTGACTCGCACCCCTGCGGAACGCGCGGAACGGCCCGCGAGTGCGAGAGAGACAGCCGCTGGCTGGCTGGCCCACGCCCGCGTCGTCGCGGAGGCCACGACGCTGAGGCAACGCGGCGGCACTACAATGCGATTGGCGGCGAGTGCGAGGGAGAGCGTCGAGTCTGTCTGCGTGGCCGCATGCATCCGCCGGAAGCGCTCCCTCCATTCGAAAAGAACGCCGTCGACGTGATGTCGTGCTTGTTCCAAAAGTGCGGGGAGCTCGCCAGGGCCTGGGGCCCAGGCTGCCCGTAGGGATGACTTACTTGAAGAGGTCGCGGCTGGTGCCGTGGTGCAGACGGCGGTCACCGGTGTCGGCGCGCTGCAGGAAGAAGTCGTCGTCCTCCTCGCCGGCGTGGTTGGAGGCGATGGGCTTGGTGCGCGGCGCGGGCGGCAGGCCCTGGGGCACGGCCTGCGGGCCCTGGCTGGCCTGCTGCACGGCGGGCCTGGTGGTGGACGGGCCCAGCGCGATGGGGGTGGGCGACGGCCGCGACCCGGCGTTCCTCGGCGACGACACCTGGCCTGCACCTGTGGACACCCGCGCGTCACTCGGCTCCAAGGCGTCTCGCGGGCGGCGCGGCCCAACGGTGTCCACCAGGACGCCGCCGAAGCCGCGGACCCCCGCCGCCGAGTCCCTCAACCACACCACCGCGGCAACGCGTTGGAAACAAAAGCGCCCACCACCACGACCAAGTTGTATGAGAAATGTGTTGGAGGGAAAATGAAGGTCCCTGGTTCAAACACCAGCGGTCCAAGGATTTCGTCAAGGACCTTGGCCCGAAAAAAAAGGAAAACCAACAAAAAGCGAATGGAGTACGCGGTACATGCGCCTCGCCGTCAATTCAATTGTTGAATTAACTGACACTTGATTTCCTCCAAGACCTCACAGCGTGCTGCGTAATGTCACACCGGCGTAATGCTACACAATGCGGCAAGGCGCGGCACGGCGGAGCATGGCGCAGCATGGCGCAAGTGTGAGTCGCTTCGAGTCATTGCGAATAGCCGTGAGAACATTATCCGCCTTACCGCGGCGCCTCGTCGTTTTCAATGACGAGCTTTTCCAAAAAGACTAAAAGTTCGTCAATTTTCAGCAAAAAAAACCACACTTAATAACACAAATTTAGGAGAAAAAATAACATTTTGTAAGATTGTATTTTTTTAAGTTACTAATTTTAATGGTTAAATGCCTCGAGTTCTGAAAACAAAAAGAAAAACTGCGTTCGTTTTTTTTTTTTTTTTGCATTTTTTCGCAAAGAAAGGGGCGTCGGTTCTGGCTTATGACGGTCCTGCCCTTGGAGCGGTGCGGTGCGGGCGTGCAGGCGCGCTGCATGTGGGGCTGGCTGCGCTGGCTGCGCCGGCTGGCCGCGGGTCATGCTAACGCGGTGAGAGGGTCCCACGCCCACGCGACTCGGGAGAGGCGAACGGACGGACAGACAGACAGACAGACGTCAAAACGTAAAGAGTGTTCGTGGCTCAACCCCTGCAGTGTGCCCGCGAGGCGTGAAGGCGAGTTCGGCCGCGGGAACGAATTGGGCGAAGCGCTTCGACAGGTAAATGCAGAATGCAGGTTCGGGTCGATACAAATATTCAACAAAATAAAACAAATGGAAATGCAACGGGCAAAGCATGCACCCGTGACCGCGCGCTCAAGTTTACAGTGTACCTCCCGCATCGCCAAACCCAATTCTATGTACAGAGTAAAATGGCGGGAACCGATCAGGTGAAAACATAACGATACGGAAATCATGCACAAAGCTACAGAAGTGCCACCACAACACATTTTTCTCTTTTTCCCCTCTGTCTGTCACTATCCGTTCTACCACTACACACAAAAAGCACACAAACTATATTTTTTTCAGTCGCACCACTGTCCGTTAGTCTGTGAACGGATTGTCCTTGTCATGCGTTCAGGACAATGCAGGTACAACACAATTCAAAAATTCAAACCTTTGAAAAATCGCGGAAACCGGGGGCTACGCATGCATTTATTCTCACCAAGGCACGATTGATGATCCAATTCGAGCCGAAGTCAGAAAAAAATGACAGTGTACCCACAGCGCCCTCACCAAGCACACAAACGAATGTTGACACTGCCGGGAAGGTGGCTACTATTCATTTCCAAACAATACGTCTTCCGCCCACATCTGCGCGCTCTGCGCGTGAGCCACGTCACCGATCGACAGTGGGACGTACTAGCGTTTTCTCACAAGGCGTCTCGTTAAAATGTCAAAGATGTTAATTATTATTTAATTTTAATTTTTTTATGAATTTAAAATTTAGGTGAGAATTAAATACCACTCAGAAAAGTAAATGTTCCCGACAGTGTACGTGGAGGGCGCTTTCGTTCTGCCGCCTCCGCTCGTCAAAAGCAAACATTTCAAATTGGCGCACGTCTGGAAAGAAATGTCTTGTCCAACCGTCTTGGCCGATTCGAAAGACTCGCCTTCCCATCACTCCATCCGTCCATCGTGCTCCGAAATCCGTTCACCGATTCAGTAATCATGTTCATTTCAGACCTATGCACTACGTCTCCGTCCAGGTTGCAGGATCTTCCTGACACAATACTTCTCAAAAATCAAAAATAAATAAAGAGATAAGAGATGGCTCCGTCTAACAAGGTCATACACAATCTGACAATCTCAGAAGAGAAACACAGTCTTCCCCGTGAAATACGTACAGTGCAACGCCCTACACTGTCTCTGCTTTAGAGTGCAACCGTGCCATGTGATTCGCTCTCGGGCGGGGAAGCCTTTTGTGAGTGGAAGGGGCAACAGAGGGTGAGACAGGCCTCCTCCAGTGGTGGGTGTAGCGGGGAGGGGGACTAAAGTGACATGATCATCGGATGAAAAGTGAAGGAAGGACGGATTTGCTCGAAAGATGGAACAAAAGTGAAGAGCGGTTGACCCGCGCCGCGTTCGTGCCGGCCAGGGCCGCCCCCACCGAACGGCGCCTTTTCGCGCGCAAATTTGAAAAGGGAAACGGGAAAGGCCGCTTTTCGGCGGGAAGGCGACCCCGGCGACGCGAGCGCCGTGCGGGCGGCAGCAGAACTCCGGGCCACTCACCGATCCGGAACAAATCGAAGTTGTCTCCGAGGTAAAGGGATGAGGACTCACAGTCGATGTTGTACCAGTCGTCGCAGACCTGGTTCTCCTGGTCGAACGCCGTGTCGTTCGGGCAGAGGAACCGGAAGTCCTGTACCTGTGGGGGTCGAGCAGCCGGCGGGTTAAATGAACGGATCGTTCGAGATTGAATCGATTCGAATCTGGGATGCTTCGATTAGATTCAAGAAACGAATTGCAGTGGCCCAAAACATCAGAGAGAGTGCCAATTTCGCCCGTTTAGGGGCAGAAACAGTAACAGGAGATTAGCATCTTTTTAAAAAAAATGCCACTCGAGAGGTGGTGGTGGTGGTCTTACCCCGATGCCGGGCACTTTGACGCACACGTGGAACATCTGGCACTCGGTCTCCGCGTCGCCGTAGTAACCGCCGATGATCTTGTCGCTGCAGTCGAAGTCTGTGTCGGGCATCTTCGCCGGGTTGTAGTTTGGTGGCCGCTTCTGTGCTGCGACCCCCATCAGGGCCACGGCCAGCGCAACGCCTGACAACAAAAATTGAATAAGGTTAAAAATGAAAATGTTAATGAATGAATGAATGATGAATGAATGAATGAATGAATGAATGAATGAATGAACGGATGACGGCTCACGTGCTCAGTCGCGACGCTAACCACCCATATTAACAACCTAAGCTGCTGCAAGCAGCCTAGACCGCCCTGGTTGGGCCAGTATTGCTGCACGCACGCACACAAACACACGCACGCCGCGCGCGCACACACACACACAAACACACACTCGTGGGCACGCGCTGGGCCAGTTCCGTGACATTTAGGCCCGTTGGAGGAGTGGAGACGCGCCGAACCTGTCCCACTGCCCTAATGAGCCGGAGAGAGGGGGGGGGGGGGGGGGGGGTAACTGCGGCCGGCCGCGAAGCAAAAAAGCGCAGTGGTGGGGAAACGATTGTTTGTAAGCGGCGAGACAGTTTTGCACGCAGATCTGGCGGTCTCTGCGCGCGCGAGCGGCCGGGGCTGGCCTGGGCCGCTCCCCCGATTGATGCAAGCCATGGAGTGCCCCGGCCGCGCTGTGGGAAATGTGTTGGCTCCGATGCGCCCATTAGAATGTCAGATAGTTTTTGCGGGCGGGCCGGGCGGGCCAGGAGCGGAGCAACAACATTCTCATAGAATCGGCCCGCCATTGGGAAAGTGGGCACCACAGCATCTGCCGCTCGTGCACGACACAGACAGAGAAACTCACGATGCGCCGCGCGAGCCGCGCGCCCTCTGGGACTCCAGGCCTCCGCCGGGCCGATTCCACGGACTCTGTCTCTCTCGCACCCTCGCGGCCCTCCAGGGACGCGAGAGAGACGGAGAACAGTCCGCGGGCCGCCCCCCACAGCAGCACAGGGCTGTGCAGGGCTGCCAGCCCTCCGAGTGGAACATTGGCGATATTTGCGATCCGAATCGGCGCGCCAAACCGCGCCGCCGCGCCGCCATGCCGCCAGGCCAGGCCGTGATGTAATAAGCCCATAAAAAGGTCAGGCGATGCGATGCACGGCGGTCACATCCGAGAGAGGGGCTCGCGTCCACCAACGTCGTTTTTCGGGGGAATCGTTCGATCAAAAAATGGCATATCAAATTTTACAATATTAGACACACTCTTATTTCGACACTTCACGTGAGCAGTTTGAAAAATTACTATTTTTTTTAAAGGGGAGGGAATGTGTTCGGGCCCTTTAACGCGAAAGCACTCGCAAACGCGGCGTTGTGTTGGCAGTGCACCTTGCACCCACGCCAGATTATCCCAGCGGCATCCTTCAAACCTAATTGGTCGCCTGGCTGGCTCGGCTGGCTCGACCGGCCTGGCATTTCCCGACCTTTCTCACCAAAAGCAGCCAGCTTCGGCGCTCCACGGCCTTGGGCCTTGGCGGCACAGCGGTACCACCACGCCGCACGCACCGCGGCCACACTGCATGCGGATTGCGCTCAAAAGCAACAACAACAACAGCTTTCCCATATTCGGACAAGGATATGCCGCCCGGCGGGGTCCCTAGGGAACCGTAGGGAACAACAACAACAACAGGACTCGGTCTTGATCCAGCGCCCGGCGCTCATAACAACGCAGTCAAAAAGCGCGCTCCAAAAAAGCTGACCTTAAAAAATAATCAGCAAAAAAAAGAAGATAATTTTTTGGATTTGGCGCAGCGGCCGGTTTCGCCAGCGGGGCGTCTCCAATCCGACACCGCTGTTGCCGCCGCGCTGTCCTTTGCTGCTGACGGACTGGACGCCGCTTGACTCGGCGACGCGCCGCGACGCGCTGTCCACTAGTCAACTGGCGTGAGAGGGCACTTTGAGCTCCCGCCGACCATTAAGCCCTTGGGCCCCCCTCGGCCCTCTCCTCGGCCCTTGTGGTCGCGTTGCGTGGCAGGCACCGCGGCGGGGCGGGCGGATCTAAAGGGGGGGAGGGATCTAAAGGGGGGGAGGGATCCTGGCGGTCGACAGTGACACTGGGGAACCCTATCACGCACTTTGGTGAACCGGCGTGTGGTCTAGCCCTTAATGGTAATGGGGAGCTGGGACGCCCGCAGAAGGCAGGGTAGGCAACACTGCGAGACTGCCGAGTTCGGCGGGCTTGCCTAACCGCGCTTCGCAGGCGCTTCACCACTCCAAATTTTTAAATTTTTCAACGCTGGTCCTTTTTACGGTCCCTCCTGTAGGTTCCCTGGGGTTCCCTGCGGTTCCCTGCCTGTGGGGTTCCCCGGGATGCCGCATGGGACTGCAGAGGCGCTCCGCTCCGAAATGCCAAGGTGAGCGATGCGGCTCCAGAGAGCGGCGTCCGAGAGCGCGACCCACAGCGACCCGCGTCCCCGCCGACTCACACGCCACCAGCGCAGTGTGGTGGACTTGCTCCAGTTCAGTGGCGCGACAGGGCAGCTTGCGACAACCACCGACAAACTTCAACAGTTTGTTTATTTTTTAAATGCAGTTATAGTTGTACTGTACTATAGTTATACTGGAAACGCTGCAATATCCTTCGCGAGATGTTCCTAGCCAGCGAAAAAAAATTAAACAAGTCCCAGCTTTTTAAAGCAATGCCATTGAAGTACGAATGCAGTCTCTTCAATTACCTTTTTTTCTTTCTCGCGGTGGAGCTCGGTTGAGTAAGTTTTTAGTGGTTTGTGGGGGACTTCGCACATTACCGGCGGCGGCCGGCGTGCCCGCGCCCACGCCGCCGACACCGTGTCGGCTAATGGTGGAGGAAGCGACCGCGCGGCCTTCCCGTTTTTGGGGCGTTCCGCCGGCGGCGTGGTCCGTCCCGGGCACGTCGCGGACACGTCCGGCGCGTCCACGCCCACACGACCCATCTCCTCGCCGCCGAACTGGGCGACCGTGGCGTGCGTGTCAAATGGGGCCCTAGTTTTGAAAGACGCGTGCGCGATCGGGCAGGCCAACCAGTCGTCGGCCTAGTACGCTGTCTCTCTCGCTCCAAGTGAGACAGACCGACGGTTCGGACCGTGCTGCGACCCGTGCGGCTTCTTCTTCGAGACGTATGTACGCCGCGCGCCGGCAGCGGACTCTTCTTGTTGTCGCGTTGGCCAATGGCAGCACGCCGATGACACGACGAGAAGGTCGCTCGGCCAATTACAACGAGCCTTATTAGAGAGAGACGGAGAGTGTCATGCAACTACCCTTTCTACCGCCTCGGCGCCACCTCGCTGTCGGCAGTGCCCTCATCATCCAGCGAGGGTCACCGCGTACCAAACGGCACGACGTGCAGGTACAGTCACCAAGTCCGTCACCTGCGTCCTTTCATTTTACTTTTTTTTTCAGCTAAATCGACCGCGTGTGCAGGTTCGTGTCCACCTGAGTGCGACTTCTGGTCTACTGCACTGTGGCAGTAGTAAGGTGCCCCCATTGCCACTCGCCGCCATCCCAGGCCACCATGGGGGACCCCGGAATGGCGTCGCGTGACCGTGGGGGCACCTTACTACTCACGCCGCCTGGGAGGTAGGCAGGGCGGTCTGCCCGGGACTCGTGCATTACTGTGGAGCCCGTTACGTGTGGCCACCCTGTATATGGCCGCGCGCTCGACACCCAGGCCGTCGTTGAGAAAGGTTACCGCCGGACGGACGGACGGACGGACAGACAGACGGACACTAGGAAGCACGACGGGCACGCGGGACTCATCTTCGATCGGTGCCATACCGCCTTCCATACGACTACTACCGCCACTTGGAGGTCAGCCGCTCGTTACCAGCGCGTCCTCGAACGGACTCGAACGCGCTGCCGCCGCCTCGGCCACCGCACACCGGTCGCATGAGAACGACCACCCCCTGCCGCCTTCCAGAGCACACATCATGTTATTCAGTACAGAGGAAAAAGAGTTTAGAAACAATGTGACTAAAGTAATTTTTAAATAAGTAAAATTGTTTCATATGTTTTGAATTTTTCTCTGGCGGTATACGCCGTAGCGCACCCCGCACTCCAAACATTTTCCCGCCTTTCCCGCGAGCCAAGCCACCGCCGCCTACTCGCTGCGCACTGTTTGAGGTACAAGCGATCGGGTGGGCATTACTCTGCCGTGACGGGATGGGGTTGTTCGCATGCCGCGCTGTGCTGCGCTGTGCTGCGCGGTCCGAAGGCTCGGCCCGTCGCTCCGTCTCTGTCGCACCCCTACGGGACGCCCCACGAGTGCGACAGGGTCGGACGGCGTCGGAGCGACCCCTCGGAGTGGGCTTTGCTGTCTGTGACGTGTCGCGTTTTACGACGCTCTGGCCGCGCATGCGCTTCGCGTCGCTTCGCCCCGCTTCGCCCCGTGTCGGAGATGACCCGACCCGCGGCCCGCAGTTTGAAGCGAGTTGCACAACGGCATTCCCAGCGCATCCTTACGGTGTGCCTCAGAGCCTTACTGCCTGATGCGTTATTATGAGCAGGCCTTCGGGGAGGTAGTGCACACAGCAGCGGCCCAACTCCGGCGCGCTGGCGTCTCTCTCGCACTGGTGGGAGGACGCCGCGTGCCAGTGCAAGAGCGACGGGGCGCGCACTACTTCGGAATGGGCCTCGAGCGAGGCGAGGGGAAAATTGCAGGTGGCGGAGGGAATTCGCAGATTATGCGTACGCGCTGCCCGCTTGCCGCTCCGCAGGAAAAAGAAAAACCAGGCCGCACGGATTACTGCTCCGCCCCGCGACCAAAATAGGTGTATAAAAAAGGGATGGAAAATGAATGAACTTTCTATCCAACGCGGCCGAGCGCGGCCTGCTCGACTATTTTGTTGTTTTTGTTTCTGGAAATAAAAGGTAGCGCTCCACGGAACAATAGCAAGGTGCGCGGATGACAAATTTGCGTGTCGTTTTCTTCCCCCTTGGTCGTTTTTTTTTGTTTTCGAGAAACACGACGGCGGAGTCTGGCTTCCCGGACCGTCGTGAGACAGACGGAGGGACGGAGGGACGGACGGACGGACGAACAGAAAACGCACACGGCGACGCGGAGATGACCGAGCCCAGCCCCACCGGATTGTGAAAGGCGAGGGGCCTCACGATGCACG